GTCCAGTTTTAAGCACAAATGGTACATCCTCTTCGGGGTATTGGATACATAAATTTGCATAAGTGAAATCGAGGTGCAGCCATCTCCCCGAGAGTCCTCTCACGAGGTCCAATAGGTTGATCACCCATGTTATTAGTTTGGAAAAATCGAGAAGAAGGTATATTAGGTGCAGTACTATCACTATGACTATTTAATGGTTCGAGACTCAAGAGATGAATTCCTAGAATGTCTAACTAATCTATGAAAGGTTCTATCTATCTCGGGATCAAAAGGTTGTAAAAGGTCAGAATTGCTCCTAGTCATGCACTATATTCAACAATTCATGTATTTCCCAAAAGTTAAAAAAAAATTCCTAAAAAAAAATTAGTTATTTACTGGAAAGACAACGGTAGACCGTGAATAAGTACACCAGGTAGGTTCCTAGGAAAGAGAGGTGGGTCACTAATGGACACGCTTAAATACCAAATCTTTCCTAGCCAGAACCCTCCTAGACATGCACTCTCACACTACCAAGCTATATCCAGAGTTTCCTATGAGAATGGAAATTATAATTTTTTTTATAAAGCTAGAAAAACAAATTAGGGATGAAATTGTTTTTTTTTTTTTTGAATTATTATTTATAAATTTTTTTTATATATTTTTTTTTAATATTTTTTTTTGTTATTTTTTTTTATTTCTTTTAACCCAAAAGAGTTTTAGAACACAGTGAGCTATCAAAATAGTATTAAGAGAAGTAAGAATTTTAAATTAAATAGAAAATCAAATAAAATATTCAATTAACTGAAAATCAAATAAAATATCCAAATAACTGAAAATCAAATATTAAATAACTAAAAATCAAATAAAATATTTAAATAACTGAAAATCAAATAAAATATTCAAATAACTGAAAATCAAATATTAAATAACTTAAAATCAAATAAAATATTAAAAATTAGCAATCAAATAAAATATTCAAATAACTGAAAATCAAATAAAATATTTAAATAACTAAAAATCAAATAAAATATCTAAATAACAGCAAATCAAATAAAATATTCAAATAACAACAAATCAAATAGAATATTAAATAACTAACAATCAAATAAATTATCCAAATCAAATAAAATATTAAATAACTAACAATCAAATAAAATATTTAAATAACTCGAAAATCAAATAAAATATCCAAATAACTGAAAATCAAATATTAAATAACTTAAAATCAAATCAAATATTCAAATAACTGGAAATCAAATCAAATATTAAAAACTAGCAATCAAATAAAATATTTAAATAACGAGCAAATCAAATAAAATATTCAAATAACAGACAAATCAAATAAAATATTTAAATAACTAACAAATCAAATAAAATATTAAAAAACTGAAAATCAAATAAAATATTTAAATAAAATAAAATAAAAAAAATTGAAAACAGAAACAGAAAATAAAAATTGAAAACCTAGACAAAAATCTTGGTCCCAAGCAGCGGCGCCAAATTTGATCGATGTCGTACTTCGGTCAAATAATTAAAACAGATAAATGTAGTACTAGGAAGCTTTCCTAGGTCGTCTCCCAAAGACCACAAATTTCTATCAAAGCTTATCAATTTTTAGTAACAAAAAATTAAAAGGGGAGTTTTTCAAAATTAAAATATTAGGTGAAACAGAACAAAAGCAAATTATAAAAATGCAGATTAAAAACAGATTAAAATGCAATTGATTTTCTGATTCTAATGCAGTGTCACTTATCCTAGATTACGAAATTAATTCGAAATTAACCAACTAAGCGAAGATAAATCCCAAATTATATTCTAATCTAAAATTAATCAACTAAGCGAAAATTAATCTCAAATTAGCTTTAACACTTGTTCCAATATGAAATTAATCAACTAAGCGAAGATTAATCCCAAATTTTCCTTAACCCTTATTCCAATATGAAATTAACCAACTAAGCGAAGATTAACCCCAAATTATCCTTATACAATTAAGCATTGCATACATCACATAATCTCATATCTAACACAGAATTAAGCAAACTGTGATATAAGTTTCGGTTTATTAAGCATAAACAGATTATAATTCAATACTGAGATTAGAAGATGAAGAGTTAAGAGAACAAATAATATGAAATTGAAGAACAAAACCTCAAAGATCTACTTGCATTCTTCTCAGAAAATCAATACAAATATTTAGCTATCCATGGAAAGTTGAAAACGCAATAGAAGAAACATAATTAAAATTGAAACAAGAATTTAAAAATAATGACAGAAGAGTAAACAAACTTGAATATAAATTGCAGAAGATGAAAGATGGAAGTGTGGTGGCTGCGTAGTCCTTGTGTGATGTCCTCCCTTCGTGTGATGTGCCTCTCTTATATAAATAACCCTAACCCTAATCTTAATCGAGGTTTGGGCTCAACTAGTCCATGAAACACATCATAAATTGGCTTCAGTACAGGTCCATGAACTTCAAACACGTGCAGTATTTTCAATACTTATCCAAATTAAGCGATTTTGGTCTCCAACGAAAGCCTTTTGAGCTAGCTTTAAAACGCCACCGTTTCTACTATTTTCGGAGCTCTAATGAATTTAGGAGACTTAAATTACTGAAGCATGTCCATTGGGCCGGCCTGGTGCGCTTGACCCGTTTTGGATAATTTATGTAAAATCCAATTTAGCTCCGAATTGAATGATTTTGGATCCTGTGGAAAGCTCAATGTGTCTAGTTTATAATTATTTTAGAATTATGTTATTTGGAGATCTGTAGAAAAAATTATAAATAAAACAATAAGCTAATGTCAGTACCCGTATAAAATAAAATATGACATTTGACCCAATTTTTCAAGTCCAAAATTACTTTAAACTGTTCTAAAATTAATAATGAGTAAAAATTAGATCAAATAGATTAAAATCTAAATTATTAGCCCAATTAAGCCCAATCAATGAAAATGCACTAATAATAGACAATTAAACACAATGCACCAATTAAGATAAGTATATAAAGATAAGAAAATGCGGGAAAATAATGACTCATCAATGCCCAACAAAGAGAGTAAAGGAGAAAACATAAGAGGAAGTATGGTTTGGGAGCCAAATATAAAACACTTGAGAATATTTGATTTGATTGCGTGGAGGCATGTTCCCGATGAGAGAAGAAAGAAACTCGATGACAAAAGTCAAAAGTTAATTATGGTAAGATATCATTCAACTAGTGCATATAAGTTGTATGATCCTACCAAGAAAAAGATACTCAAAATTAGAAGGATGAGAAAATCGATCGAGATCAGAAATCGATCGATCTTTGAAATTGAAGAAAGGAGAAATCAACCGATATCCACACTTGAAGAAAGGAGAAATCGATCTACAAGATCTATTAGAATACCAACGAGACTCAATAATTATATGATCAATTCTAACAATACTGTAACAACTAGACATATGATTGGAAAAATGGAGAACAAGAATGATATTGTACATCTAACATATATATGATGATATCAAGACAAAATCTTGAAGACGTGTTTGACGATCCCAAGTGGATCGAAGTCATGAAAGAGGAGTTGTTGACTATCGAAAAGAATAAAACATGGAATCGAGGTTCTGTACATAAAAATTACATTGATCGAGAAGACAAAAAGAAGGACAAAAGATGAAGTGAGCATGGAAATGCTGGACCTAGATGATATCGAAGTCTTTGAATAATCGAAGGTTCGAAGAGTTAAGAAGAAACATGAATGTAAAATTGATTGTTGAATTAGGGGGTTGTATTAGATGATAATTCAACAATTTTGATGTAATGATTATTTCAATTAGGTTTATTAGCTAACTAACTATAGTTTCTATTATAAATATTGTATCTCTATACTATTTGAAAAAGTGGAATTGTATGAACCAGTTTACATTGTAAATACAATTTCATCTTCAGATTCAATCCCTATACACCTCTCTCTATACTTGTTTTATATCCCTTTCGGTAACAATACTAAGCTAGTTTTGAAAAATATATAAATGTCGGACATGTTTATTACTATAAACCAAATTAACCATTTTCCTTTGTTATACTGAATTAGATAATTGGGTCTTGTAGAGAAGAGACAAAACACACTACTTTCGCTAGCAATTCATTAGGTAAATGCTTCTTACACTCAGAATAAATTCTTCTGATACCAATCCCAATTTTTTTATTTTTTTACTTTTTTAGAATGTCATTTTACATTCTAAATTAGTAGATTTTGAAGGAAAAATGGTGTATAATGAAATTGATGGAGTGCAGAAAGTAACTGTGACATAATGATCTTAACAAGTTGGCCTGGTTGAAGTTATCATTTTTCTTTTTCTTTCAGTAGCACACTCCTTTCATTATCATAAGCATAATCAGTTCCAAAAAAAACATTATAGATAGAATTTCATCAACTTTCTACATTTCACCAGCACAAAATAGTCTACAAATTAGTCTTTGATTGTTAGTTTTGAAATACTTCATGAACTTTGTCCATGGACAAAAATTTCACCAACTTCCCAAATGCAAATCATAGGTTCGTCCTCGCTTGGAAATTAGAACCTTGGCCAAAAGTTTACCACTTTCCCATAAAAGCAACAGCATTATGCTACAAAGAGAGTGAAAGAAAGTGAATATTATGTTAATAAGTAATTCTAGACTATGTACATATAGTAAATACAAGAGCAAATGTAAGGAAAGTATTGGTATATATATATCACTCTCTACACACTCCAAACACTCAATGTTAACTCACTCAAGCTGCCATCACTACAGAGTTACTCCTCCCACAAGCCATAACAAACACCATAGAAACAGACAACTAGCCTTATACATTTTACAGGAACAAACATAAAGCAAAGTACTGTAATATCAGTTTACTCAATCCAAGGACACATGGTCAAACCATTCAAGCTGCTACTTTAGTATCATTTGTTGATATGGGGAATTGGCTCATAATTTGCAGACAAGAAAAAACTCTTGCTAAGCTGTTGTTGAGGAATAACAAGATCGGGGGATTTTAAGGTGTTATGAGTTTATTCCCGAGTTCGTTTCTCTTTTGATCAACACATCCTGAGCTGGTTAAAGAGGTTATCCAGACATCATCGGATTTTACTGGCTCATCATCGTCATTTCTGTGCCAACTCCAGAAAGCATGCGTAGAGTTTACAATCTTTAGCTCGCCATGACCAAAACTGGCTTCACGGAACTCTGACCATACTGGCTTCGGATTTATATATCTGTCAACAAACAATGATGTGATCATAAAAATTGTCAGAATGATAAGAGTACATACAAGAAGCATGCATGTTGAGTGTTGACAAATAGTTTGAAGAAATCCCTATGTAGATTTTTTGGGATAACAAATGGTTCAGAGAAAAGACTTATTTGGTTTATGCTGAATGAAACTTACTTTGGAGCTAAGCCTTCTTTGTTTCCTCCATCACCAATGGTTATATGGACTGAACCACAAGGGTCAAGTCTTCCATTGTATACACGTTTCTGTCAACCAGACAAAGTACAGTTTAAAATCATAAAACAATTAAACGTAGAAGAAACAAACTCTAAACTGTGCAGGCATACCGAACGTTCATAAGCATGCACATGACCAGCGATAACTAAATCGACGCTAGCAGCATTAAGCAATGGCTCCATTGCTGCCATCATATCAGCCCCTTCACCTTGATGAGCCGTGTTACTATTATACCATGGCACATGAAATAACACAAGCAACCAAGGTGTGCTTTTCCTGTCCACCTTTGAAAGATCTTCCTACAGATCACAGACAAGAACATTATGCCTGTGTACATATAGATATTTTCAAGACAGGTTAAGATTCAAGTGAAAATGTAAAATTCCTTGACAAATTTATGGCATACAGGTTAAGAATATTAAATGAAAACCGTTAAAATTATTATAACAAAATGTTAAAAGAATAATAGCAGCACACCCAATAACCTTAGCGTTTTGCTCTTTTCTTCTCTTCATACATATACCTTGAAATGGGTAACTATGTATGATATTCAACTTCCCATTACTTAAGATTTCTAATATCTGAGATAAAGACATGACCCCTATGCTGGTCGATGAAGCCTTCTTATTTTTATGTAGGTTGTTTACCAAAGCCATATGAAAATACATGCATGCATATGTAACCAAGGATTTTTCATGTGTGCTATATTAGGCTTCATGCTCATGTGTAAACAGTAGAAAATGAAATAAGGAAGGAAGAAGCACTTTTTTTTAATTTCTTCATAATTCTAAATGTTTGTTCAGTTGAGATAGATTTCAGGAAGAAATACAGAGGCTAGTCATTGTTTTTTAAATGAATATTGAGTCATTGCGACTAACATCAAGACACAAAAAGTAATCCTTATCTCAAGTTAATGGAATTGGCTACATGGATCAATTGACTTCATTTTGAAAATCTATAACGAGACAAATGAAGGAAAATGGAAACAAGGTCATTATGATAGATGAGAAGTAATATAGCGTATCAACGTATGAAGGCATGAAGAAGTAATATACCTAGCACAGCAGAAGCTTTGGTCTTGCATATTTATTCTCTCCAACACTAACTACTTAATGGTGGCAATAGATAAGGAAACACTTGTCTAAATATAGTAACTCCTAATCAATTAGAGCAACCAACTAACCTTAAGCCATCTATATTGTTCAGAGTACTCATCATAATCTGCATAGGAGCCAAGCATGATAATGTGAACACCTGCAACTTCAAATGAATAAAAGAGATTTGAATTTGATCCACTTTCCTCAAATGGCATTTTCCATCTGGAATTATAGGACACAAACCCATCCTTTAACAAAGGTATGCTCTCTACTTCATGGTTCCCTTGTGTTACCATCCATGGTCTTGCACTAGCAAGTGGCTGCACTAACCTACCAAACGTGTCCCAGCGATGCTGGATATAATCAGCATATGCAAGGTCTCCCGGAAGTAGGTGAACATCATATTTACATTGGTCAATGTGATCCAGTGTTGATTTAGTCCATCCAGTTTGACCCAAATCCCCAGCCACAGCAAAAATAATTGGAAGTTGAGCTGGAGGAGTTCTGAGCTGGAACTCAGGACCTAGTCCACCACATCGATAATAGTACACAGAATTATGCTCTAAAGGCCCAATAACGATATGGTGTATCTTTCCAGAGCTATAGAACATATAACTGTAAGAAGTGGTCTCTCCTTCAGCTACAGAGTCATATCGCCCTGCAGATGTTCCATATTCTACAATTGAAGGTGCAGAATTATCATCAGTAATCCAAGTAACTCTCATGTGCTGGTCTCCTGCTAAAGAAATGTGTACCTGGAAAATAAACTTCGCTGATAAGAACTGAACCATCTGATACTAATTGGGTACCACGAAGTAACATTAACATACTTAAAAAGGTTGATATGACTGCTTAAGCAAAGATCCATGCTTCAAACTTCATAAGAAATTGTCCAAGAATTACCAAATAATTCACCAAAATGAAGGAGGGGTGTTTGAGTTCAAATTAGAAACATTTAATGAAAGTATTTGACAGAGTACAAGCATTACAACAAACAAACAAACAATCATTGCTAATAGATATCATTTCAAGATTCGTCATCACTCATCAGACATCAAAATGAGAATTGTAATCACAAACATATTGACAACAGGGATTGGATACCATCCACATTGCAGTGCCAACCTCCCAAACAAGATTTTCATCGTGACACAATCAAGAACAAACATGACTACATTTACAAAATGCTGCTAATCAACTAGTCCAATGTCACGTTACTCAACCAAGTAGTCACAAATAACTAGTTGGGCTTCATGAATTTCACTTCACAACTTTCTATACATCTCAATTTCTATTACCAAACATCAATAAGGGGAAAATATGAAAGAAGACATTATAGCAGGGCCAGAAACTGAAGAACAAAGAATCGCACTCAATGAGGACAAACGACGAAATACCTCATTCATGTATGTAATTCGCAAAGAAAGCGAAAACATTCTAAATTAAGACATATCAGAAACATAAAAACTTAGGGTCTGTTTGATTCTCTTTTCACTTTATGTGATTAAAACAATTTCACACTACTCACCAATTAATATCTCATCAAAATTCTATTAGGTTTTGAATATTATATCGAAAACAAGTGATATAAAATCCAAAAAATAGAAACACTTATATGCTTTCTCCTATTTTTCTTCTTTTATTTGCATCTTATTCAACCTCTCTCAATTCTACACTCTGTCATGTGCCTTGTACCACACCTCACCATCTTCATCAACAACCTTTTTGTTTGGGCACGCATCGTATTGGTACAAACTGTCCATTAGATTAGTCATAGACTAATCTTTATCCAAAAACCTGGTTAAGCCACTGGAATCTCTCATTCCAACCATTTTTATTCCAACTACAAAACTCAAAACCGAGATCTTGCTTAAAAGGCATCAAGACCATTCCACTCAGGCTACCGACTTGTTGGTTGAACAACCTTGTTTACTTGCATGTTAAAAGTTAATAACAGTTTTTGACAATAAAGATAAAACAATCCATTTTTTCCTTACAAAAACCCAGATTCTGAACCAAAAATATAACAAAACAAAAAATGGAAAAGAGTACATAGATCAGCTATAAGCAAAAGGGTATGTAAAAAAAAAAAAAAGTGATTGAATTGAAGAATTATGAAGAATGTGTGACCTGTTGAGGGTAAGAGGAGGGTTTAGAATGCCATGGAAGATGCAAGGCTTTTCGAGGCAGAGGTCGAATGTAATCAGCAGCGGCAGTTGCAGACTGAATCAATAAAATCGTTAGAAGTAGTTTCAGTTCCATTTCTGTGTCAACACAACCCTCTGCCAACAACGTGGTATCAGCACGACAACAATGTACTTGACGAATCTGTCATCACTATTCACCACGCCGTGATTCAGGTCCGTGGATTGTGGCAATAGTGCATCACCTTTTATTTTTTTTGTCCTTGTGTGACTAATTTGTTTATATTATTCATACAAATTTCAGCAACTTTTTGTTTCGTACAGTATACTTTAAAATTTTCTTTCAATAGGATGTGGTTTTACCACCACACTCTATCAGTGACTAAATTTGCATGATGATATGACAGTATTATCCACTTTCAAATACTAATATTATAATTTATCTTTTTTTTTCATTTTAATCTTTAATATTATTAGTTCGCTCTTTAAAAAATTATATATTTTTTAGGTGGAAAATCTCAGTAGTATGATAAAGATTCAATTTTCGAAGTTTCTTAATAAGGTCAAGAACTAAAATGAAATAAAATTTACAGAGATGAAATAAAAGATAAAAGAATATTAAGATGTGGGTGGTTCATTTCCTAAGAGTGGTGGTGGGGTGTCACGGGTGCAGAAAAAGTTAAACTGAAGAATGAAATGAGTATTCTAGTAATTCTACTTTCGTCATTTCCCTTACACATTAAGTATTTATAATCTATATAAGCCCTCTATTCTATCTAATTAATGTTGAGTATGATAATGATGTCTTTAAAAAAAGAATACAAAACGATAATTTAAAATTTTAAAGATCAATAAAATTTTCTATAATTAAGTTTTGGTGCAAAATAAAAGGTTTGATTGGTAAGATTAAAAACAAAAGAAAATAATTCATTTTATCTTATCTAATCTAGTTTTTTTTTATGAATTTTTAAATAAAATATTTGTATTTATCTATTATTTATAAACTTGAAAAGTATATTAATTACCTTTATATCCATTATATTCTTAATTTTTTAATTATATTTATTATAAAGAAGAAACCATTAATTTATGATTACTTTTGGGTAAGAGAAGGTCAAATTATAAGACTATCTCTGAAAAAATTAATAAATTTATTATAAATTATAAAATTAAGTTTTTTTGAAAAAGGATGACATGTTGAGGTTAAATCAAATCCAACTTTTAATTTAATATGATAAAATGTATTAAATAATACGAATACTAATAATAGAATTATAATTTAGTTTATTTAATCATTTTACTAAATAAATATATAATTTTGAAATTGTTAAATGATTTAAATATTAAAAAATATAATATATTTAAAAAGGGACCACCAATTTTATATTGATTTTAAGTTATACAAGACTTGTCGCACACTCATTCAGATGCGTATTCAATATGAAAAATCCACCAATGGAATCAAAGAAACGAACAACTTTTAATTTTGAAAAAGGAACCCTAAAAAAATAAAGAGAAATGCAAATAATAATAAACTCTTTTATGATATTCAATTATTAAATAAAATATGGATATTATAAACTAATGAATTGAAAGAGATACAAACTTTGTATAGATCTCATCACATGAGGAGGAAAGACAAAATCTCACTTAATAATGGATTGGACAAAACTTTGTTATTTTTTTAAAAAACATTCTAAAAAGGGAGAAATCGTATGAGGTAATTTTTAATGTAGTTGTTTATAGATTATTTTAGCTAATTAATGTCACTTTAAAATATTTCATTAGTAAAATAAATAATGTCACACCGTAATTAGGCTTTCTAGAATAGGGATGACAATTAAATTCGTACCCATGGGGACCGACCCGTCTCCGCCCCGAGTTTGACGGGGAAAACCCGAGTTGACCGGGACGGGGTTGGGTTCGGGTTTTCCCCGCTTTAAAAAGTTGGGGGCGGGATGGGTAATGCAATCCCCACCCGACCCCGATCCCGATCCCGTCCCCGTCCCGACTTTATATTTAAATATAAATTTTAAAATATTAATATTTTAAAACTATTTCATTTTCTTTTTCTATTACATATAAGATTATTTTTTTATATTTCACCAATTTTTATTTTTCATCTACTCACTTTTTAATTTTTTTTATCTTTTTTAATCTTTTATTTCAATTAATTTATTATATTATTTTTTCTCTTATCTTTCAGTTTTTCACATTTCCTTAATCTCTCCTATCAATTTGTTTTTTTTTCAATCTTTTCAACTAATTTGATGAACACAAAGTTTTTTTTTCTTCTTTATCTTTTTTCTAAATATTTTACATAAATCTTAGTAGTAACTAATATTAGTTTATTTATAATTTATATTTATTATATTTTATTATATCATATTTTTTTATCTTATTATGCTTATTTATCACATATCAAATTTTATCTTAATAAAATAATTATATTTTAAAGGATTAGAAGGAATTAATAATTTAAACTTTTATTACTTCAAACTAATTAAATAAGAATTAACTTATTAAATATTTCCTTATAAACTATATATTTCTTATTTTTAATGACAACTTAAAAATGAATTAACTTATATATATAATCAAATGTTTAAATACAGTATTATAATAATAATATTATAAATATTCAAATATTTGAATACAGTGTTATAATAATAATAATAATAATAATAATAATAATAATATTATAAATATTAGATATATATATATATAAATAAAAAATGATTAAATATTTCTTTTACATATATATTTTAATATAAATATAATAAATTAAAATGTATATTTAATTAATAATAATTATAAATTATAAATATTTATTTTTATATAAAAATACATAGTAAAATTAATTTATTATAAATGTAATTATCTTTTTAAAAATAATATAAATCGGGGACGCGGGAGCGGGAACCCGAAACCCAACGGGGACGGGGATGAGAACTTATTTTCTAACCCCAGCGAGGATCGAGGCGGGACGGAGATTATTAAAAAAGTCGGGGACGGGGATCGGGAGACAAAACCCGCCCCGTCCCGCTCCATTGTCATGCCTATTTACAAAGCACTGTTTATATAAATATAATTGTTTGATAAAAAAATTATGATTCAAATAAAATAATTTAATAGAGAATTGTTTTAAGTATTAATTTATGTCGATTTCATCACTTTAATTTCTTAAAGGATTTTTTTTTATTAGTACAAAATAATTTTTTTTATGTTAATAGGTTTTTGTTGGATTAAAAAATAATCAATTTCAAAAAATATAATGATATTTTTAAAAGTAATTATAAATTTCTACATTGAATCGGATCAAATCCAACAGTAAAAGTAGCATTTGTTATATCACTCTTAGGGTCAAATCCAACGGTAAAAGTAGCATTTATGTTCACGATATATCACTCTTAGGGTCTTCATTTTCCTTGGGCGCGTAGGATTTAAATGCGAACCACGATAGCAATTCTACGATAGCTTTAAGAGCTTATTTTTACCATGATTGAACAGTAACAGCATATGCATTGACTCATTTGTTGGTAGATATTTATCTGGTATTAGTTTTTATAGAAAATATTATTTTATTATCTTTTATTTAAATTTAGTATTATGAGATTTTTATTATTCTTTAAGAGAAAAAATAAAAAAATATTAGGTTATTATTTTGATTTAGACAATTATAATTGAAATATTATTAATATTTGATATTTTGTAATATTTTTACTCTACATATACACAAAGTACATGAATAAAATATATAATCATATGATATATTAGAAATACACATACACAAACTTTTAACAATTCTCATCAGTAGTATCAAGAGCTTTGGTTCGAGATAATAGAAGAAGAAAGAAACTTTTCACAAGTCGCTATTCCAATTTTTTATGGCGAAAGTTATGACTTATGTGCTGTGAGAATGCACTTACCTTGAAGGATTGGATGTATGGAAAACTGTGGAAGACAATTATATTGTTGATCCGCTGCCTAAAAATCCAACCATAGCTCAAATGAAATTTCACAGAGAAAGAAAAACGAGGAAGACAAAAGTTATATCATGTTTGTTTACTGGTGTTTCACAAATGATCCTCACCAGAATCATGACACTAAAGTCACCCAAAGAAATTTGGGATTATTTGAAATATCAATATGAAGGGAACGAGAAAATTTGAGGTATGAAAATTCTAAACTTGATAAGGGAATTTGAGATACAAAGGATGCAAAAGTCTGATACAATTAATGAATACTAAAACAAATTGTTGGGTATTGCTAACAAAATATAATTGTTAGGTAAGGAATTTTCTGAATCCAGAATAGTTGAGAAAATTCTAATAACTGTGTCAGAGATATATGAAGCATCTATTACTTCATTGGAAAATACAAATGATTTGTCTAATCTTACTTTGGCAGAAGTGTTACATGTTTTATAAGGGTAAGAGCAATGAAGATTAATGAAAGGGGATCATGTTGTTGGTGAAGGTTCTTTACTATATCATGGTGAAGGTTTTCTCCAAGTTAAGAACAACAAATATACCAAATCACGAGTATTTTCTGTCTGTCCTTATTGCAAGAAAAATAATCACACACCTAACAAGTGTTGGTGGAGGCCTGATGTTAAATGTCACAAATGTAGTCAATTGGGACATATAGAAAAGATATGCAAATCACAACCAAAATAAGTCGTCAAGGTTATAGAGGATAAAATAGAAGGGGGACTCATTCTTGCGTCAACATGCTCTACAATCAATAAATCTAAAGGTTGACTTATAGATAGTGGTTTTACAAACCACATGACTCATGATCGAGAACTTTTCAAAGAGCTCAACGGATCACTTATTTCTAAAGTGATAATCGGTAATGGAGAACAAATGGATGTGAAAGCTATGGAAACCATTGCAGTTAAAAGTCATTCGAGTATCAAATTAATTTTTGATGTTTTATATGTTCCTGATATTAATCATAATTTATTAAGTGTTGCTCAATTATTGGAGAAAAGTTATAAGGTGTCTTTTGAACACAAACTTTGTGTGATTAAAGATACAAATAACTTGAAAATATTCAAAGTTCACATGAAAGGAAAAAGTTTCACTTTAAATTTGATGAAAGAAGAGTTGACTA